TGCGATCAAAATGTTTTATACAAAGATATAAAACGGTAATCTATATGTAATGGATCAGCACTGAAATTTCCAACACGGTTTCCAAGACGTAATTCAAGAGATAACTTATCATTGCATTTGAACTATTACATCAGTTGGTGTTATGCTGTGCGATAAGCGAGTATTATTGGAAAGAGGGCTTCTATATACGTCGAAATCATCAAATAAACAGCTCAGACACACATTTCTCCACTTCGCGGTAAGTTTACAGAGCGTATTTTATACTTTGTGACTGATCTTTGTCTTTGATGTGAACATTTATTCTTATAGTTTAAGGTTATTTAAGATTGATCCTGTCGTAAGTCTTCTACCTGCAACCATTCGACAATATTTCGTTTTAGCGTTATCTTTGCCGTTACGTTGGCTTCGCGTTACTTTTGTTTTAAATATCTTGATCGCGTTAAAAGAGTTATTTTTCAGGCCAGTGACATAGCTAAAAGACTTGACATTAACGTCATTGTGATTTTATAGAGATATCTCTAGAACTGAGGATTTTTGAAAGCGTTATCTGTACCTTCTCAAAGTTATAGACAAGATATGTTGTTTACGTCCAACACGCATAAGATTACATAACTCAAAATTATTCGAGCAAAACCGATCTTTTGTTAAAAGGAAGAATGGTTAATAGAAATTCGTCCTTTTGAGTGACATAATCGTGTATCGTCATCGATCCGTATCGTTGAACAATGAAAAAATTTGTTGTGAAATTAGTGAAGATAAAATAGCATTTTGTGAAAAAACTGCGGGTCTACGGAGTGGGAACTTTTCGGATTTGAACTCAGCGTGTTCGAAAGTGTTAGTTCCCGTAAAAATATTTCAGATCTAAGACATGCTTAATGAAAGTGAACGATATCGGGTCACAACACACGGACTATATGTATGACCACTGCATTTATATGACCACAGAATATCAGGGATGGATTTACTGGGGTGTGTGCATCCCCCACCTAGCCCTGGGTATGCAGGGGGGGGGGGTATTTTCATGATAAAGCAAAAAATATTAGAGACAAAATGAGTAATTTGAGTAATAACACGATGATAAGTAAACTGTTTGTTAACAACAATTACAATACAGTATTCAAGCAAGACTTTGCTGTAGTCAAGTAAGTTGATGGGTGGGCGGCACACATGACTGACACAACTCGGCACCAGAGCTGGCAGAGCACCCTCCCTACCACATCATACTGGATCCATCTTTAGATCAGTGATCCATCTGTGCTAAATATACAACAGTTAAAACAGTGCTAAGAACACATGCACAAGGTAGACTATAAGATAAAGTAGGGATTTGATAACTGCAGTAACCAAACACAGCAAATTGAGTTTGACAACATTTATTTATTTGAAAAAGGAATGGTAAAATTATATTTAATTAACAATCATTCACCGAAGGCGAGGTGATTATCGGGGAATATTTGCCGAGATGAAGTCGAGGTGAATATTCCCAGATAATCACAGAGCCTGAGGCGAATAATTGTTTTAGTATTTTTGCACAAGTTTTTTTGTATTTTTCTGGTCTGAATCATTTTAATTTCGCTTATTTCTTTATTACTAACTTCAACAAAACAGCTAGCCACCATTTTGAATATTTCGATTTTGTTATAACATAACAGATTAATACGTCAAATTTGACCTTGCAGCATTTGTTATGTTCACTTGTGCAAAAATACTAATATCAAATATTTACCTGTAATAATAACAGTGTTTTAATAGGAATAAATTTATATGAAAATCTCAACTAGAAATGTCTTGCTCATGTTCTACTTTAAATTTCAACTTGAGATTTTTTGATCATCTATACATGATTATCACAAGTTGCATGGTATCTTTGTTCTCGCCAGGAACCAGCTACAACAAACTTCTCAGGATACAAAGTGTCCTCCACAATCCTTGTCTTAATTCTCAGGATACAATGTGTCTCCTCCACAATCCTTGTCCTTCAGAATCCTTGTCTCCATCATTTTCCTAATCAGAGCTTGAATCATTCATGTATTTAGCATCACCAGTAGCCTGTTACACACCCAACAATTGGGTCAACTGCTGAATTTCATCAATCTTGTCCATGTCTGCAACTCCACCTTCTGCACCAATACTTTCAACATCACCAGGCATCTCTTCACCATGAATTTTAACCAGACACATAGGATTTAATGGCTGTTTAATGCAATTGCATAACAATGGCTCATCTAAATTCACCAGTGGTAGGTCATTCAGTATATCCTCTAAAATATCCAGCTTGGATGGTCAGATTGTTACAGAAGTTGGTGATGGAATAATGTTAAACTCCCACAACAGAACACAACATAAGTACTACAGGTAAAAAAAGATTTGATGCATTTATACAGGGACGTTGGAACAATAAAAAGGCAAGGGCACCTTTATAGACCTACAATTATGTGTTGACTTGCCAATGAAGCCTGATTGTGCATGTTCCATTGACGATAGCTGTTCTGTGTTCTGGCAATAAAGTCTACTCAAGGAACTATAACTGCACAAACACACTTAATCAGGTCACATTCAAGTTCACACCTCATGACTTTGCCCAAAACTGGAGATAAGATTTAGCAGGCAGAATTTCTATAACTCAAAGTGCACTTCAGCCCCCTTTTCCCCTCCTCCCTGCTTTTATATTAAAATAGATTTGACTCATTTGACATAAACTCATAAAGTCAAATACTTGTATGATTTCCGAGTATAAATGGCCCATTTTCCCACCAATTAAATCATAAAATAATCGTACCTTAAGTTCACAACTAGAATAGTTGAAGGACTATCCAAATCAGTAGCTTTGTTGCCACGAACAGTACGAAAATTCGCCATGATTTACAATTTTCAATTTGTACTTTTGAATACCGCTCCTTGTAAATTGAGTAGTGAACACAACGAGAGCCAGTCGAACAATGACGGCGCGATAATATTAATGAGTTACAATGCATCGATAATATTAATGAGTTACAATGCATGCCGGGAAGGGCTTCCAACCTCCTCTGGGTGCATTATAAAAACATCCGAAAATGGTGCATGCGCCTTAATTTCTGCTATCACAACTTGGACGGGCCAAAAGTTCAAGTGGAATGCGTATTTTTGTAATCAAGTAGAATCATTAAAAAAAATCATTAAACCATTAGCCGAACTATCAACAGCAAATCTGCAACCCTGCAATTCTAGCGCAGTGGTCTGACCACAGAGCTACCACTGTACAGGATGTTGAGTGATGCCAGTGTAAGGTCACAGAATACTACACAGAAGTCCATCCCATTATTTTTTGCGTAAGCGCTATTCGTCATGATTCGTCACTCAGCAAGTACCGTAAACAGAAGCAATCACCCCCCTGGACGTGCGCCACTTTTAGTATTTCCAGGGAGGGACCACTTCTGTTTGCGGTACTTGCTGAGTGACAAATCATGACGAATAACGCTTACGCAAAAAACAATGGAGATGGACTTCTGTGTAGTATTCTGTGGTAAGGTGATTGCGTCAATATTGAACATTTTTGGGCATCTCGCTCGATAGAGTTGAATATTGAGGGTTTATTAAGCAAAGCCGAAGCTGCCGAAGCGAAGCTGAGGCGGATAACATAGACCGAGGTCTGAATAATTCTTGAAATCATGCGAAAGCCGAATCCAATAATTGTTTTATTATACATTTAAAGACATGAGAAACGTATAAAACGGTTCCTGTTCATGAGGTAGGAAAAGTGCAATTTGAATATATCAAACACCTTGCACAAAGTCAAAGGTCAGCTAAATATTCTATTTCTACTTCTATTTACCCCTTTGTGGCTTTTTTCGCGCTTTCACTATCCTTATCTGCCAATAATTTGGAGAGTTCACTTTCATTCAGCGAAGCAAACCTGCTGTAGGCCATTGTTTGTTTGTTTTTTCGCGCGCCTATTTCGTTCAAGCTTTTGGCCGCGGAAGGGTTTGGGCACGAGAGAGTCCAATAATATTTTTTTGGATGCAAGTTCGATCCAAAAAAAACAATTATTGGACGCTGATGACGTCATCGGCGGAAAATACGTAATAAATGCCGAATACTGAAAATTAGCCGGTGCTTTCTGACCAATTAGAAACGAGAATACATATTAAATGTATAATAATATAATTTATTATCAACCGAGGGTTTATTATCAAGCGAAAATTATAATTACATTAGATATATTTTAGACATGACCATGCAGGGCAGCTATGAACTAGGGATCCAAGGATAGTGTGAAGTTTCAAATTTAAAAAGACACTGCAAGAACTATATAGGGTCGCCGACAACCTAGAAAAGCTTGATGGCTTACACTACGAAATAAACAGTTACCAAAGGCATTTCATCTCATTATTTATTGCTTTTAATACGCTCGGCACACGAGTAGCGTGACGTTTGAAACAAGCCTAAAGCCCGTTCTCCACTAGGCGAATTTATTCGCGCGAACAGATAAAAAGTAGGAAGCGATCCTACTTTTTCGCCGCGAATTTTTTCGCCGACCAATCACGTTGCCGGATTTCGGTTTTCGCTTCGCGTCGCGCGAACAAATTCGCGTAGTGGAGAACGGGCTTAACACAACAGAAACGTGCCTTGTGAAACTGATGCAATTCATCTATTTATTGTGTCACCAACAACCAATTTTTGCATATTCTAAATTTTCATTTGCATTTGCAGCTGTCGCTGAAAGCATCCCCACGAGGCTACTGCTGTGCTAAATTTATCTAATAAACTATAATTGAAATAGCTGTATAAGATATGTTATGAATAATAAGCACTACGTCGTTACATCATTAAAAGACGCATTTTATCCTCATCCGTTCCGTATTTTATCCGCATATCCGTTCCGTGAATCCGCTCCATCCGCTTCCGCATTTTAACTTAATTGTGACATGTTTCACAATAACAAGTTTCATTGACCTTTGACTTTTCCCAGTGTGACGTGTGTCTATTTTCAGCTTTTCGGATGTGTTGAATATAAATATCACTTTAGATTTCAATAGTTTCACAGTTATAGCAGTGTTTAAAACATTTTTGACAAGCTTTGATACAGTTCTGTGTACATTCCAATATGGTGAAGGCTATTTCAGATACGGTAGAGCACCTAGTCCCCAGGCCTTTACCAGCGCGACCGCGAAATTCAATATGGCGCCAAGCTAAGGAGTGGAGTTTAAATGGAGTTTATATTCTATAATTTCTATTGTTGTTTTTTGATCTTTTTATTCTTTTTGGTTGGTAGAACTTATATTCTGATATGCCAGGTATCTTACTCTTTACCTGATTAAAAGATTTTATAACAGAATTTTTCTCAAACATAGTTTAAATTAATATCTATATGTTTCAGTGAATTATGCTTTAAAAGTAAAAAAATAGATTGGCCAAGATAAGAAATTTGTGACACATTCAACTTCAATTTTGAAAATTGTAATAACAGCCTAGTTTATATTCCATAATCCACAGAGCTTGAAAATCCATGCGGAATGTACAAATTATTGACTTTTCGAGTGAAGTTCTGTTTGAATTTTTCAGGTACTAAGTCATATATAGTTATCTTGCTATCATCTCTATCTAGCCTGGCACAGACCGTTCAAGATTGCAGATTGCACTGTTTAATTAGCACCAACACTAACAGTCATGGTGGCAGGGATGGATCCAGCATGATCTGGTAGAGGGGGGGGGGGGTTTGATCTGCCAGCTCTAATGCCGAGTTATGTTGGTCATGCATGCCACCCGCCCATCAACTTACAGGTCAAGTCTTGCTTGACTACTGTATTTGAATTGTAATTGTTGTTCACAGTTTGCTTCTTATCATGTTATCGATATCACTCAAATTACTGTATCTCATTTTGTCTCTATAATATTTTTTGTTTTATCATGAAAAATAGCACCCCCCCCCTGGCTAGGGAGGTGCACCTCCCCCCCAGTAAATCCATCCCAACATACAGTTGGGTTTATAGGGGGAGGGGAGGGGGGTTGACAGAGGTACACACCCTTGGCCAACAGGGGAGTGTAAAAATCTAAAGGGGGGGGGGGTGCATTTCAAATTTAATTTACCATACATCTGAGCATTTGAGATATTGTATATAATTAGTATTACAAATATATTGCCACCTTGTAACCTTAGATATTTCATGTGGTATGTGTAATTGGGGTTAGTACGCTAAGTATCTTACTGTCCTTACTCGTCAAGCAATGCCGGGTTCAGAGTCCTCACCTGTTCCCCTAGCAATCAACAATATACAATTTTAATGCCAAATTGTGTGCCAACATGCAAAATGGACTCTGCACAGGTTGTGCACTACCTTTTCATTTCATGCTGGGTGAACATTATCGTGAGGATAGCAAAAGAAACATATTCACAACTAATGTGTCCTCTTTTACTACTTTTGTAATTATCTTGTTCCATGACCTAAATAAGCTAACACACTTAGTAGCTCATGCTTACCTTTCAACTGGCAGTCATTAGCAATGGCCGGCCCATTTTTCTTTATAAAAAAAATCCCTGCCACCATGACTGTTAGTGTTGGTGCTAATTAAACAGTGCAATCTGCAATCTTGAACGGTCTGTGCCAGGCTAGATAGCAAGATAACTATATATAACTTAGTACCTGAAAAATTCAAACAGAACTTCACTCGAAAAGTCAATAATTTGTACATTCCGCATGGATTTTCAAGCTCTGTGGATTATGGAATATAAACTAGGCTGTTATTACAATTTTCAAAATTGAAGTTGAATGTGTCAAAAATTTCTTATCTTGGCCAATCTATTTTTTACTTTTAAAGCATAATTCACTGAAACATATAGATATTAATTTAAACTATGTTTGAGAAAAATTCTGTTATAAAATCTTTTAATCAGGTAAAGAGTAAGATACCTGGCATATCAGAATATAAGTTCTACCAACCAAAAAGAATAAAAAGATCAAAAAACAACAATAGAAATTATAGAATATAAACTCCATTTAAACTCCACTCCTTAGCTTGGCGCCATATTGAATTTCGCGGTCGCGCTGGTAAAGGCCTGGGGACTAGGTGCTCTACCGTATCTGAAATAGCCTTCACCCTGTATGACTGACTGATTCGTGTGAATTCGCCAGCCATCACAATAGTGTGAAGTGAAACTTCACACTAAAAATGAAACCACATGCATGCCCGGCCAAAAATCTTGAATATTTACACTGGCATCACCCCAGTAACTATATAAATTATAAGTGCCGCAATCAGCTCTCGGCAACTTGACTCTGTAGCTCAATTACATTATAGGTCAGAGCAATGCGCCAGAATCACAGGACCACAGGTTCGATTCCTGTGTGTCAGTTGCATTTTTCATAACTGCTTACTGGTCTGATCTAAAATATGTATAATTTTTGCTCAAAAGTTCCATCAACAAAAATCGTTCAAGATTCTGGGGGTTGGCCGGGGTGTTGGGTTTAGGACGTACGCTTCTGCGAACAACCTGGAAAATGAGACAGACTAGTATATTGTAGATATGTACAGTGTTCCTTATAAAATGTGATCTACGTTGTGCGCGGTTTGTCCAATTATGCGTGATTTTTAAAAGAACGAGGCAATTATAGATATTTTTGTTAAGTTGTCTGCATTGAGAATTACTTTTTATTTTTTCAAGCCCTTTCGGACTTGTCCCAATCTATTCAACTACAATATTTTTGACGAATTTATCCTGAACAAGTTGCAGCTGAGTTGACTAGAGTCACTTACGGCAGACATCAAGAAGTCGAGTCTGAGTCAAGGCATTTGGGCTGTTGACTCAAGTCGAGCCATTTTTCGTATTTGAATTGAGTCGCAGAAAATTGCGACTGGAGTCTTGAGTGTAGTATAGGCTGCGATGAAAATTAAACTACAGTATTTATCTATCTATCTATTTATCTATCTATCAAATATAACGTTTGGACCGGTCAGCCGTAAACGTCAATTTCAAGGTCTCTGTACTAGTGTTCTTTGTTCATTGTTTATTGTTTATCTTCAAAATACATTTTGTGTCCTTCGATCAAACTATCAAAGAACTTGGTAAAAGCTTTGGGCACAGCACGAGCAAACATCCATTCCACATGTCTTGCAGGAACATAACCGTTGTATAAATTGTGTGACAAAGCAAATACTGTACAAGCATGGTCACCATCATTCTCATCTGCCGTTATAACTGAAAACTGACCACCATTTGTCCCTCTGACATACGGACCTTCAGTTGCAGGTTTGGATTTGTGTGAGGCGTTGATGTACGGGATAATATACGCTTGCTTACCGTACCACTCTACTTCTATAGCTGCTGTTGTATAGAGGAGAAACTCTCGATCATTAAGAGGCCATGGCATTTCTATTCTGTTAGAAATCAAATAGCCGCCATTATTCGGGTATTCTTCCAATACTTCGTTGTCAATGAATGCTTTATCCCATTTACGACGAAGCTGCAGGTTTTTCGGATTCGAAATTTCAATAAACTGTTGAGCTGACAACGATAATTGATATTTCACCAAGACTTTAGTCGGTATCTCTTCATTAGGGAATGTTTTGATCCAAAATGTTGACTTATTCTCCACCTTTTGTATTTCTCGCCAATCCCCCTTCTGCAAATCTTCGTGAAACCATTTTGCTTGTGCAAACACTTTCTCGTAGGAGAAAGATTTGGCATAGTCGATAGTTTCATCTGCAGCCATTTTTGCATTTAGACTTGAAACATTTGGCCACGTAACATTTCAATAACAATTATTTTGATCGGCATGTGCTATCCTGTAAAACCTGGACGACGAACAATGGATAATGGACGATTTTTCATTGACAAATTTATATGGGCGTCCATGCATGCAACGGGGACAGAATTACAGTATGAACACAGAAACAATAAACCAATATACGTACTAAATTTTTGAACTCGCGAGTCACACGTGAATACTGCAGCGAGCCTGGAACAAAGACGGTTTGAACAGTCGTTAATTACGTTTTTTAGATGTACACGTCTTCATGGGCCCCAATATATTTCAAACTTTTTAAAATTATGGTCCTCGCGTTACAATCTTAGAAATACTGGTCTGAATTTTGAGCAGGCCAGTTATAATACTTTATATTTACATAATTCATATTCTTATATCATTTCGCATATTTGGAATGAGCTACCTGATGATATTAACTCCAACTCGTTATCCGAGTTTCGTTCTTCAATTTCAAGAATAGATTTTACTAACAAACTCAATCTCGGCTGTAGGTGTGCGAGATGTATCTAATTCTTAAACATTTTATGCTACAGTAGTTTCTCCATTAGTCCTAATTATGTAAATAGGTTTCTCATCAGTATTTTGTTTTAAATTTGTACATGTAGTCACGCATAGAGTAAGTAGTCACACATAGAGTAAATAGTCGAGCATTTTTAACATGAGCCTATGGCTCGGGAGATTGAGTAATCACTTCCTATGTATTGACTTTAAATAAATACTATTACTATTACCGGACGTCTAGGTCGAAAGCTTCGCCAAAGTCGAGACAAAGAAATAAACGTGAACACAAAACAAAACAAAACAATTATATCTATTTTTACCATGCAAACCTACAAGGTCCGGCAAGGATCTTATTGTGGTTTGTTGCAATGTATTTAAATAACAAATATTTTCATTTGAATGACAAATATTTTCATCGGCATGTGCTAAACTGCCTGGACGACGAACGGCAGACGATGGATAATGAACGATTTTTATTTGATAAATTTATGGGCGTCCATGCATGCAACGGGAACAAAATTATGACCACATAAACAATAAACTAATACACGCACTGGATATTTGAACTCGCAAGTCACACATGAACATATTTCGCAGAAACTTTCAATTAGATCAAATATATTTGTGCGAGCATGTTATACTGTATGTATATCATTTTAATTAAAGCTTATATGCAATGCTGATAACGTTGTTTTCTGTTTAATTAATTTCTGTTTAATAAAAAATATTGAAGATAGCCATATGTTATACACGGAAATAATACACTAGAATTATATGCACGAGTGTTGCACGTGATGATCACATGAAGCATACAATGAACCAATGATGAACAATGCACAATAGCATAATTTAATTAACAGGAAACAATGTGTATGACACTTGACACTGTCAGGAAACAGTGAGTGTATTAGAGTCTTAGTGTCAGAGTAGAGCTGACTGTAGTCAGAGCGTTTGTATCTATCAAAAGCTACGCACAGACGCACACAATATTCAAAATATATATATGTGATAAAAGAAACCGTGTTGGTGTCAGTGATATTGATATTCTTGTTGTTGAGCTATTACCCCTACGGCCCCGACGATCCTGCTGTATTAGTCTGAATATAACCAAGAAAAGGGGTCGTATAACACATATCTTCATATATCAGAATCGACAATGTCAATGTTTGATCTTATTAAACATTTTTATACAACTAATTCAATTAAGGTTGTCCTTCCAAAAACTTAAAGCGCGCAAGGGATGATAGGTTATTGCTTATTTAGACTCATAAACTTTGAAATTTGGCTTTGCAAGAATACCTAAGACAAAAAGAAGACTCACGACAGAAAACATACTTGCTGCAAAGGCAATTTTCTAAGTTTAAGGGCCTAATAGGTAAAAACCCATCATCCCTTGCGCGCTCAGACTTTAAGGTTTAAGGTTTTGGAAGGACAACCTTAATTGAATCAGCTGTAAACACGGCAGCACACTATAACCTACTAAAATCAACGGAATTGAAACTAAATGCCATAGTACTTTCAGTACTCCTGAAAAATACACATGCATTGAGATATTTTCCATATCTTCACTAGTGAGGATATCGATCACGTAACTTTTAGTATTTATACAATTTTTTGCTTGGGACTATATAATAAACAAAACATTACACGGTGGCTTGAAGATATGACTTTTATCTTCTCGTGTTAAAAACAACACTTTACTCATGCACGATCACTCGCTGCGCTCGTTCGTAAAATATTGTTTTCACCACTCGAAGATAAAAGTCATATATATCTTCGCGCCGCCGTGTAATATCCTCCATGTATCTATTTTTGAAATGTGATTTATCGTAATCTCATTCCTTGACTCCTTGAGTGATCGGGCTTCTTTTTACAATAACAAGAACAATCCAAGGCAACAAAGCCAAAGGCTTACTGTATAGTTATATAATACAGCTAGCGCACTTTTTGTTTTGAAAAACAAAACGACTTCTGTCGAAGGATTGTTTCAGATAATTTTTTTGTTACAGTGAAAAGAAAGTGCTACAGAATGTTAGCATTTCTCCTTTGGCTAACTAACACTAATAACTGTAAATTATTTTGAAATTTCTCGTCTCAATTATAGTTTATACACATGCAATTGCAAAAACATCTTGCTATAAACTCGAATAGAAAGATGACTCATCGCCTTTGTCCGTCAATCCTCTTTTGTTCATATTTGTTATGGAATGTTAATGGTTCTTACAATAACACTATAAAATGAATGCAAAACGCTAGGTAGTGTGGAGAAGTGTCTTTTGGAGTACTTAATTTAAGTACCTTTTGGCGTATGTGATTTAAGGAGTATGACCGCATGGCGAAGGAGACAAAAGTGTGTAAGTTTTATAGCTGAAATAATCGTGAGATCGTGAGAGATGTTTTGTGGAGAAGTTGCTTGTTTATGATATGTTATTAAAGAACTTTACGTAAAGTGTTCAGAGTGCTTCGTTACATATTTAAAAAATTATTAAATTATTAAGTTATTTTTACAATACTAGTTCGGCCACACCTGGGGTACGCTACCCAAATATGGGCACCACAATCCACCGAACTAATACACCACCTTGAACGAACCCAAAGAAGAGCAACCAAATACATCCTTAGTCTTCCATTCTCCTCCTCTACTGACTACACCACCAGACTTCAAACTTTAGGACTCTTACCGATCTGCTATTGGCATGAATATCTAGACATGGTACTCTTTTATAAAATAACTCACAAACTAGTAATCATCGAAGCATCACTACATCCAACTATCCGCACTTCCAGATCGACTAGATCCTCCGCCAATAACAGTCCTAAGTTCGTCGTTCCAAAATGCAAAACGGTAACATACCAAAGATTTTTCATGATTCGGGCAACTCGAATATGGAACCATCTCGTTGATGAACTTAATTTGAATACGGATAGTCTTTCGTCATTTAAGTCGGCAATGTTTAAGTACTATATTTCCTCTTTGTACTCGTGTTACGATGTCGAGGATCCTCGTAGTTATAAAACTATATGTCCTAAGTGTAATTCTGTTCGTAGCCTCACAGCGTCATTATTGTGCTGTATGTAGGAACTGTTAGTACTGTTCTTTGTTGTTTAATATATGTATTGTTGTAATTTATTTATTCGGGCCCGCAGTAATTGGCAAACGCTGTTGCGGATTCCCTGCCACTGTAATATGTACAAGGCGAATTAAATAAATAAATAAATAAAATTTGGAGTTCCCACCGAGACGAGAATTATGTGTTATTTTGTGTTTATATTAGATGTGTGTTTTAACATTTGTGTCACCGCGTGTTTTATGTTCGCTTGTTGGTTTTACCGATTTACTTGAACATGTGAAAAGTTAATATGGCAGAAGAAAACGAAGTTGTTCAGCCTGGAAATGCTGATGGAAATAAATTATTTAATTCCTTGTTTAGACGACCAGATAAATTTAAGATTGGTGACGATTTTGATCTGTTCATTAAGAAATTGGAATTGTATAAGGCCCTTTTGAAATTACTGTGCAGTGAGATATTTTCCATATCTTCACTAGTGAGGATATCGATCACGTAACTTTTAGTATTTATACAATTTTTTGCTTGGGACTATATAATAAACAAAACATTACACGGTGGCTTGAAGATATGACTTTTATCTTCTCGTGTTAAAAACAACACTTTACTCATGATCACTCGCTGCGCTCGTTCGTAAAATATTGTTTTCACCACTCGAAGATAAAAGTCATATATATCTTCGCGCCGCCGTGTAATATCCTCCATGTATCTATTTTTGAAATGTGATTTATCGTAATCTCATTCCTTGACTCCTTGAGTGATCGGGCTTCTTTTTACAATAACAAGAACAATCCAAGGCAACAAAGCCAAAGGCTTACTGTATAGTTATATAATACAGCTAGCGCACTTTTTGTTTTGAAAAACAAAACGACTTCTGTCGAAGGATTGTTTCAGGTAATTTTTTTGTTACAGTGAAAAGAAAGTGCTACAGAATGTTAGCATTTCTCCTTTGGCTAACTAACACTAATAACTGTAAATTATTTTGAAATTTCTCGTCTCAATTATAGTTTATACACATGCAATTGCAAAAACATCTTGCTATAAACTCGAATAGAAAGATGACTCATCGCCTTTGTCCGTCAATCCTCTTTTGTTCATATTTGTTATGGAATGTTAATGGTTCTTACAATAACACTATAAAATGAATGCAAAACGCTAGGTAGTGTGGAGAAGTGTCTTTTGGAGTACTTAATTTAAGTACCTTTTGGCGTATGTGATTTAAGGAGTATGACCGCATGGCGAAGGAGACAAAAGTGTGTAAGTTTTATAGCTGAAATAATTGTGAGATCGTGAGAGATGTTTTGTGGAGAAGTTGCTTGTTTATGATATGTTATTAAAGAACTTTACGTAAAGTGTTCAGAGTGCTTCGTTACATATTTGGAGTTCCCACCGAGACGAGAATTATGTGTTATTTTGTGTTTATATTAGATGTGTGTTTTAACATTTGTGTCACCGCGTGTTTTATGTTCGCTTGTTGGTTTTACCGATTTACTTGAACATGTGAAAAGTTAATATGGCAGAAGAAAACGAAGTTGTTCAGCCTGGAAATGCTGATGGAAATAAATTATTTCATTCCTTGTTTAGACGACCAGATAAATTTAAGATTGGTGACGATTTTGATCTGTTCATTAAGAAATTGGAATTGTATTTTGAAACAGTCGAGCTTGTGGACGAGAAGAAACGAAGGTTTGCTTTGCTGTTTAATCTCAACGAGGACGCTTTTCGCCTAGCAGAATCAGTCGAGTTCATTGAAGAAGCTGATGCTTACAAGAATTGGCTTAAGAAGCTGAAACTGTTGTTCGAAAGAAATCAAACACCTACCGAGAAGAGATGAGATATAATTTTCACCTACGTGTTCAACATCCGGGTGAGTCAGTTAATTCTTATGCTGTGGCGTTAAAAGAAGCTGGTGCAAAATGTGGGTTTCGAGGTGATGAATATGCCAGTAGACTAGTCGACCAGTTTATTCTTGGACTGAGAGATCGTACAACTCAGAGTAAATTTTTGCAAGAACCCCCACGTGATTTGGATGATGCTTTATTGATTGCAGGAAGATTCGAAGCTGCAAATGCAACGATGCAAACATTGGCTATGCAAGGTCAGGGTACAGGCAATAACAGTATGATCGGAGCTGTGCGTTCTATGCGTAAAGTGGTTACATGTTTTGCATGCAATGGATTTGGACATGTTGCAAAACAATGCCCTACATTAAGGAATAGTTTCAAACAAGACACTCAGTTGTCGCCTAAAGTATGTTATCTGTGTCAAAAGCCTGGACATATAGCTCGTAACTGTTTTATTTCCAAATCAGGACAAGTTGATGTGCAAAACAGTCAAGGTAAGCATGTCCCTAATAGAAAGTCTCTAGTTTGGTATCGTTGTGGCAAAGAAGGTCACATTGCCAAGTTTTGTTGGACGATACTAAGGAGGCTGTACAAAGCCAAGATCAACGTTTGAACAACCAGCAAAACCGAACTTGCATGCAAAACGAAACACAATCTAAGATAAAATTATCAACAATTTCCCCAGCAAGCAAAGGGAAAACCCTCATGGTTGAAGCCCAGATAAAAGGGAAATCTAAGCTTTGTATTGTTGATACGGGTGCTTCAATTTCACTAGTTAGCAAGAATGAGTGGCAATTATTAAAGGGAAACAATGCCTCTTTGACTCCATCTGATATCCTTGCTGAGGCAGCAAACAATTCCCCGATAGGGATTCTGGGTAAGACTACCTTGGATGCTAAAGTTGACCCTGGACACATAACATGCGATGAATTTTATGTTGCTAGTGGCATGATATCTGAGATTATTCTTGGCCTGGACTGGCTAATGAGTAATAAAGTCAACGTTGACCTTTCAAGAATAGCCCACGTGCAGGCCCAAGGGAAGAATAGTGGGCCCCGCGTTCCACGCAGCATTCTGATTGGCTGTTTGCTATTGGATTCTATAATTAGGTCAGTGATTCATCACAAAGTCTCTCGATAAGCTTTAAATTCGAAAATTGAGTGTTGGAATAGCAACATTACGACTGGGGTAAACTATAGTAACCTTTGCTTGAGTTTCATTAATTTCAAACAGACTTGATACGTTATATGTTCCTCAAGAAAATTACTTTTTGGTTGATGTTGACTCTGTTCTTGCACTGAAGAAAACAGCGCTGTTGATTCGCGGTGAAAATTTAGAGGCAGTTGCGTGTAAGCCTATTCGAAACACTTTAATTAATTACGATTTACAAGGCTTCGCTGAGAGAGTGAAACAGAATACGGTAATTGCCGTTTGAAACGAAACGATCTGGACGCTCTGAACGCTCTCTTCTTTTGTAGAGTTCCTTACCAAATGAAATAACTGAAATAAATTTCGTACTTTCCGCCACCAACAAAAATTGCAGACACGATCTGATAAGTGAGACAATTTATTTATAACAATGGCGACAGCGAAGCACTCGCACGACTTCCCTCACGAATCACGATTTGAAGTTTGATACTGGTTTTCTGTTGAAATTCGTCCTAATTTGCCTGTTCCGACTTTAGTTGAAAAGAGCACTTGCAAATTTGGCAATTACTGACTGCGTTGCTTGCTTTTTTCGAGTTAAAACGCAGCTATTTACACATTGTTATAAGCAGAGAAAACTCCGCAACATTTTAATGCGAGTTTATTGTTAATATTTGGGTTGCTGTCATTGGTTCTTTTTTGACAATTGACGCGCGAATGGGGGCGTGTTATGAAAAGGGGCGTTTTACAAAATACCGGGCCTTGCTTGCAGGCCCACTATTCTTCCATTGGGCCTGCACGCGGGCTATTTCAAGAATGGTGTTGACATTTCCTGATTTGTCTACCCTTGTCCGTGTTTCGACTGTGTCAGTAGCTGTTGTTTTGGACGAGGATATTGAAGTCCCGGCAAAGCATGAAATATTTCAAACAGCTCGAATAAGAAATCCTACCATTTGTGAAAGTATTTTGGAACCGAACATGAAACTATCAGGAAAGGGTGTTTTAGTTGCTAGAGTTGTTGTTCAGCCAAAGGAACAAAGAGTTCCTATCCAGATAATAAACCCAGGAACAGAACCGGTTAAGTTATATAAAGGGATGAAAGTAGGAAATCTAGAACAAGTCGATGGTCTTATACCAAAAGATTCCCCCAATGATGTCAATTTCCAACTTGATCATTTGCAACCAGAACAAAAAACAAGAATGGAACACTTGCTAGTCACAATGATATGTATGTTTGCCACAAATTCAGGAGAGTTAGGCCTTACATCAGTATCAGAGCATAAGATTGAAACTCAAGATGCAGTGCCAATAAAACAGTTGCCTCGACGTTTACCAAATGCACTTCGACCTGTTGTAGAAGAACAAGTGAAATGTTAGAGAACCAAGTGATAAAGCCAAGTAATTCACCCTGGGCCAGCCCCATAGTCTTGGTGCGAAAGAAAGATGGTGATTGGCGCTTTTGCATTGATTTTCGAAAATTAAACGAAGTAACCGTAAAGGATGCATTCCCTTTACCACAAGTTGCTGATTTGGTTGACTTGTTATCAGGACATAGATATCTCTCAACGCTAGATTTGGCGTCTGGTTACTGGCAGGTTCCAATGGAAGAGTCCAGTCAAGAGAAAACAGCCTTTGTTATCCCCGGAGGAGGACATTTTGAGTTTCTACGCATGCCATTTGGGTTGACAAATGCGGTTCCTACGTTTCAAAGGCTTATGCCAGTCCAGACCTGGAAGGTCTCTTGCCTCTTAGGTGTCTTGTATACCTAGATGATGTACTGGTCATCGATCGGTCTTTTGAGCAGCATTTAGAGAATCTGGAAGCAGTTCTAGAAGCAATCAGCAAAGCATGACTGAAACTGAAACTTTCAAAATGTCATTTTGCACAATCAAGTGTAGACAGATTCAGCTTTGGCTCCAGATTCCAAGAAAGTGGAAGCTATCAGCAGATATCGAACTCCGAAAGATCTGACAGAGTTAAGGCGCTTTTTTGGTATGGCTTCGTACTACCGCAAGTTTATCTCTGGGTTTAGTGACATTGCTAGTCCACTAAATCGTCTCACTCAAACAGACATGTCATTTGTATGGGATGAGAACTGTGAAAATGCATTCCAAACTATCAAAGAGGAACTTATGTCGAGTCCTGTCGAGGTATTCCCAGAACCAAACGGTGATTTTATTCTATTCACCGATGCAAGTGTTGTAGGAGTAGGAACTGTTTTGGTACAAGAGGATGGAGAGGGAGAGAAGAGAGTAGTGTATCTTATGCATCGAAAGCCTTCTCAGGTTCAGAGAAGAACTGGACTACCACAAAGAAAGAAGCATACGCTGTTGTTTGGGGCTCTGCAATATTTCCATCCCTATATGTACGGACGAAAGGTGGTCATATATATATAGATCACAAGGCTCTAAAGTAGCTGAAAAACGTTAAACATCCAAATGGTAAACTGGCATGCTGGACTTTGGAACTGAAAGAATACGTCTACACTACAGAACATAAGCCTGGTAATATGATGCAACATGCTGATGCACTTTCCCGTGCCCCGGTTAACAGCGTTCGGATTTCCACATTGTCGTGGACGGCGCTTGAAGAAACTCAAAACCTGGATGATGATATTCTGTTAGTAAGGAGATGGGTATTGAATGGTTTAAGACCAGATGCTAAACCAAAAGATACCAGCCCAATGTTGAAAGCGTTGTACAATGTCTTTGAATCTTTAGTCGTTGAAAAGAATGTTCTTCGTCGAAAATGGATCGATGAAGATGGTAAAGAAACGTTGCAGATCGGTACCTAAGTTGGCTTCACCTGCAATTTTGAAAGATGCCCACGAGCAAGTTGGTCACCTTGGAATAGCAAAAACATTCGAAATGATTCAGAGCGGGTTTTATTGGCCTGGATTTTACAAAGATGTAAAAACATTTTGTAAAAGCTGTGAAATTTGTGCGAAAAACAAAGTTGTACCAAGACCTCGAAGTCCTATGAAACCATTTGACATTGTTCCAGTGCCATTTTACATGATAGGAGTAGATCTTATTGGTCCTTCGAAGTTAGCACGTCAGGGAAACAAGTATATCCTTTCCATTATTGACTATTATTCGAAGTATGCAGAAGCAGTAGCTCTTCCCAATCAAGAGGCGGAGAAGGTCACTAGTTCGAGCTTTGGAACAAGTGTTTGCCAGGCATGGAATGCCTTCAGTTTTGCTCACGTACCAAGGCCGTAATTTTGAATCTCATCTAGTAGCAAGTATGTGTCAGTTTTTTGGAATAGAAAAGAGGAGAATAACCGCTTATCACCCACAGACAGGTGGACTATGCGAGCGTTTCAATGGAATTCTAAAGACTCTCCTTCGAATGAGAGTTAACAATGATAAGGACGATTGGGATGAGCAACTACCTCATGCTTTACTAGCGTATCGAGTTAGCAAGCAGTCTTCTACCGGAGCAACACCATTTGAAATGTTGTATGGAAGAGATCTCAGATTGCCCCTAGGAGTAGAACCTGAAGAACTAGAAACCAAACCAACTCATGGACCCGCCAAGTACCTAGAAGATATAAAGAAGCGACAGAATAACATGCGAAAGATCGTAAGGGAGAGAATCGAACAGTCCGAGAAGAAACAGAAACGTTGTTATGATTCACGAAATCGTGCATGCCGGAGTCTGGACTTTACCATTGGAGATATGGTACTTTTAAAGAACTTTAGAGCTCGAGGATTAGACGAAAAATACGTTGAAAAATACGTATCTAATTGTAAATGTCCAAGATACTAGCTGTGAGATAGAGTCGCTAGCCAATAAGACAAGAAAGATTGTTCATGCAAACAATTTAAAACGATTTTCGATTGACTATGATATTGATCAGGTTTACGAGAAAAGTGAAGATACCGAAAGTTCTGAATGTGACTGACGAAATTGGTAATGAACTGTCGAATCGTGAAGAACGCCAGAATGTTCAAAGAAACGATAATGGTGCCAATGTGATGCATGGTTACAACCTTAGACGCAATCGAAGGGTGCCAGATCGTTATGGAATATACCTGTTGTGGATTACTGAACAGATAAGTTAAACACTTTGTAGTAATTGAATGTTACACGTTTAAGACAGTGTATTATGAACTTTATCGATTGAACTGTTGAACTATTATATATGTATACTTTTATGTTGAGTTGACCAGGGACATTTTACTAGTACATGGATAGTCTTTAATTATGTTGATATTAGGTGGGGGGAGTGTGAAGAAGTGTCTTTTAGAGTATGTAATTTAAGTACCTTTTGGCGTATGTGATTTAAAGAGTATGACCGCATCGCGAAGGAGTTTTATAGCTAAAATAATTGTGAGATCGTGAGAGATATTGTGTGCTTGTTTGTGATATGTTATTAAAGAACTTTATGTAAAGTGTTCAGAGTGCTTCGTTACAGTAGCTATTCACTTGGACAATGTTGCTAGACTAAGTATACAAAGATCATTCCACTTAGACGATACAGTTGTGTTAACATTTTGAAATAACCAGATCTCAGGATCCGACTGATCTGGAGTTCGAGGTTGAACAACGCCATATCCCGGACAATTTCCTGCAGGTAGATGTGAAGGTTGGAGATCGACGCCACCTTGTATTCAGTACCCCAGATATGATTTCTCTCCTTAAGCAAGCAAAGGTGTCGTATATGGATGCCACTTTCAAAGTTGTTAAATCAATTCAAGCAACTGTTTTCAATCCATGCTTTTTGAGACAAAACAATTATGTCAAGCAGGTAAAATTACTTTAAAGTGTTTTCAATTAACTGTCTGAGAGTAAATTACTGAAGTAGGTACATAGATTCTTCGATAAGCTTCTATGTGAATAAGATAGACTACCCGGAAAATATAGAGAAAACTTCAATGTTTCAAACAAGTATAAGTTTTCTGTTATATATTTTCCTGGCAGTCGATCTTATTTACACAGTAGGTATATAATACTGAATAATTTGACTAAATTGCAACTGTGTCTTCCATATTTAACAGGTACCTTTGGCATTTGCATTGATGTCAGGCATGCAAGAGCATGCGTGACTATCGGTCTGTATTGCAGGCAATCAAAAACTTGCTCGCAGATCGCAATTGCTTGGAAGGCGTTGTTACTGACTTTGATGCATTTATGGAGTAATACTTGTGTTTAATTGGGCATTACGAAAACATCTCCTCGCGATCACGCCACGCTTTCAGCCTTTCATGCTTTGCGTTTGCGGTTTCCGATTTGTATTCTTGTCTATTGCACCATAGCACGTATGTCGTCATTTTCAGGTCAGTGTGAACGCCTGAGCAGGCGTCCTGTTTATACTTATTTAGATCTTCTATTTGTCGTTTCTCTTCCGCTATTATTCTTGCAAAATCCACTTCTTCGTTATCAACATGCGTGATATATCATTTGGTTTTGGAATTTCACCTCCGTTATATAGTATGCAGTGGTTAAAGGTCCAGTGTTAGGAGACAATAACTAGAGACTACTTCATCTAATATACGGTACTCAGTCAGTGGATAGGTATAGTCAGTTTCACATGGTCGAAATTTCGCCGCGAAAGCCTAATTGTTTGGTTGCATGCCGAAAATTTATTTGTTTGGTAGCTATTTGTGGAAACATCACGTTTCTTTCTTATACTAGCTTCAGATCCGTAATCCTGCATGGATCCTCACCAGTGCATTAATTTATTATAGCACCAATGAAGACCGGACTTATAGGTCGAAAGCTTCGCCAAAGCCGAGGCAAAGAAATACAGTAAACGTACGTGTCCACAAAACAAAACAATGATATCTATTTTACCATGCAAACCTACAAGGTCAACGATCTTATTAATTATTACAATGGTATCAAGATACACTAATTATTTAGAAGAAAAACAAAATGCGCGATAGCGACTATCTTGCAAAAGTATTTCAAATGTTCAGTATCTTAAAAATATATTTAGCTTCGGCGTAATCGTTAGCCTGCTCACAGCCCGAAATTAAAAATTCGGGCTGCGAGCACGCTACGTAAAATCGTCTGAATGTCTATAAATTAAGTCTTGTCAGGATATTTGCCCACGTGGGCATGTCCATGAAAACAGGAGAGTTTACTGTAGTTGGCAACGAAATTTAAGTCTGCATTCAGGTTAGTCAGAAAGAACATGTTTAACTAAGTTTAACAATTAAAATAAATTGCTATACAAATTTTTTAGCTTTTCTTTTTTCGTTCTCAAGATATTTTTGTTCATTTAATCATGCAAATAAACTTACCTATGACATTATACAAGCGAGTTTCAAAGGTGGAATACATGCAATCTCTTCAAAGGTTCAAAAATGATGAAATCATTCAAGCTACAGTACCGGTATATATTTTTGATTCCTTTGACTAACTTGGATACAGAAAGTTATGCAGCAAGCAGGTGCTCTTTGTTTATAAAGTTGGTTTACTTAAGATTCCTTTCAGAGTTAAGAGTGCCTAATAACCAGTCCTGGATTAACCATATGTGATGCTTTGTTGGGTAACATGCCAAATGAGTGCCTATAGTAACCATTGTTAAGAGTGCCTAGTAACCAGTGCTGGATTAACCATTAGTGATGCTTTGTTGGGTAACATGCCAAATGGTGGAAGTCAGGGTGGATATTTGGTTTTACTTGTTTAGGAATCGGGAAGATTCTCACCTATTTGGTGGAATTCTAAGAAAATCTGTAGGGTAGTAAGGAGCACTCTTGCTGCTGAAACCCTTGCCTTGGCAGAGGGAATAGATAGTAGTATATTCTTATGTACTCTTCTTGCTGAATTAATATATGGTTGTAAAAATCACCCCACCATCTTTCCCATAAAATGTTACACCGACTGTAACTCACTTTATGAAGCCTTGAAGTCAGTAAAGAGTGTATCAGAAAAACGTCTTAGGTTAGATATTACCAGTATAAAAGAGTTAATTGAAGCAAAACAGATTACATCTGTTAATTGGTGTAGTACTAATAGGGCCACTTGCAGATAGTCTAACAAAGAAAGGTGCCTCACCCAAAATACTAAGAAACTGGTATATTATTTGTATAAATAAAATAGTGGAATTTGTTAATATTCTTTATCATGTTAATGTGAATAGCATGTGATTGAGTCTGTGCAGCGGTGTGGCACGGTGGAACTCAACATGGCGAACATGTGGTCATGCTTTTAGAGTTGCAAAGTTGTTCATATTAAAAGTTGATATTACAAGTTATCACAGTGTAAAGTTTGATTTATTTACAATAATTATATTAGTGAAACTGAAGTGAAAGATACATACCGGTACTGTGAATATATCTGTTTTAAAAAGCTAGCATGCAGTGCACACTGTAGTATAAATTAGTTTTTTGAAGAGCCGGTCTTGAAAATTACATGTGAAAACTTCCTGTCATGACACAATTTGCCCCAGTCTCTTCTTTGCGCTTGCTACTGGGCCACATGTAAATATATGTTTGCATTTTGATGGCTTCTTTTACTAATTTATTATAATATCACAATATTTTTGGTGTCCTGCACTATAAGTGAGAAGTGTCAGGCACCATGTTACAGCATATCTGACAAAGTGCCAGGCACCCATTAAAAAATTATTTTCAGGTTTGTTGCACATGCTCTGATGCGCGTCATAATCTTGTGGTAGAGGCTTGTTTTATTACAAGAGTTTTCAAAAACCCAGTTGTCAATTTGGCCATGCCTGGTCAAATCTAAAAGCTCACTATTTTGGCCAGGGGGTGGTGATCTTTACCTATTTTTTCCCAGGGTAGGTGCTATGTAACACAGTATATCTTTCCCTAAGTGGAACATAGCTATTTCCTTTCAGAAAATGGTTAATGGGGACATGGGCCCAGGGGAGTTGTACACATATTGATGGAATTGACTTATATAAATATATTATTGGTTTTATATTGCAATTTGCAAATCCTTTCAGCTGAACTGTTGATAAACCTCCCCTCCCCCTGCTCAATTTATAAAATCTTTTAATACTATAGTTCTTGGATGTAATTGTTTAGTTACCTTCATCAAAAGTAAAATCCTCAATTCACAAGATTTATTTTCTGGTTTCCTGCCACATTTTTGCACTGACTCACATTTGAGAATAAAGTTCATATAGTAACATGAAGTATAGGTCGGTTACATAATCAAGAACCGCAGAACCTAATACTGCGGGAATAATATTAGCAAGTTAAGTTTGTATTTCATGAAGTATTGGACGCGAATTTTTATGACAGAACAGAATTTATTCGAAACCAGTGGGGCGCAAACATTGTTACAATTTTTTTACAAACCACTTCAAAATGATGCTATATTTTGTCGTTGAGTGTGAAGTTTACTAGAGAATATTAACTATTTATCAAGTTTTTGAAATCAAGTTTATGGGTGACAGTTTCATTTATGATTTTACTCAGGAAGAGTTGACCGTATATACTATAAACATAAACAGTAAAGTTTGTATTTACCAAAGGGCTGAGGTATTTGGACGAATTTTCTGCCAATAAAGATCTGTGATTACGTTCCTTGGCATCCATCAAGGACAAGTAAATGAGTTCAAAACGGAAAGGAGGTAAACGAACCAGTAGAAAAGGTAATATATTTATTGAGTCATTTTCACAGCCATCAAGCAAAGTTCAGTATGCTGAAGCATCAACACAGACAGAAGAAGAGTATACTGATGATGATTATTATAGCTGCTTTTTAAAACCTGAACTAATGGGTAGTGTCTCATACGAGAATCAGATACATACAAATCAATTTAACATATCGCCGGTTAAACTAGAACCGACAATCCAACATATTCACTGCAAGGTAACATGTTCAGAAGAAAGAGATCCCCAAGCTCAGGAAGATCTTGCTGATCCTCCGAGGCGTGTTAACTGCAATATTTGCAATAAATGGTTCAGTTCTGTATCATCCTTCCTTCAACACAAAAGCGTACACACCGGCGAAAGGCCTCATCAATGTGAATTCTGCCACAAGACATTCCGTCAGCAGGGTAACCTGGCTAGCCACAGGAGGACCCACATTGGCCTCAAGCCGTACAAGTGCGATATCTGCGATAAACGTTTTGCCAATTCCAGTAACGTTGTTGTTCATAAGAGAACACACACTGGTGAAAAACCTTTTGAATGTGATCTTTGCCATAAACGATTCAGTCAATTTGCACATCTGGTTGGACACAAACGAACGCATACAGGGGAAGCCCCATTCCAATGTGATATCTGCAAAAAGAGATTTAATAACCCAAGTAACCTGACCACCCATAAGAGAATCCACGGGGGGGATAGACCCTACCAGTGTGACATTTGCAACAAGACTTTCAAACAGTCGGGTCATTTATCATCACATAGAAAGAGTCATGGTGAAACGCAACCGCTGGCTAATGTGAAGATTGCCGAAACAGTCACTTCAGGCCTTGCTGAACAATGCTCTGTTAAGGTCAAGCAACAAAAGCAGAAACGATGATGAATATAAACAGGGTGGATTTATAGGGGAGGGGGCAAAAAAATTAAATTCAGAAATATGGCACAATTTCCAAGGTTTTTCCTTTTTTGAAGTCATACTGAAACTCATTATAATTCAATGCCCATATCTCAGGAAATGGCATTTCTAGGGTTCTAATTTTCAAAATGTTCTGGGGGCATACCCCCGGACCCCCTAGGGAACTTGCACCTTCGGCGCTCAAGTCGTTAGGAAGCCAATTCAATTGAATGCTCTCCCACCACCCAGGGTGCATTCTGTGCACAAAAGTGCGAAGATATCCGGCATGAGTTTGACAAATTACAATACTATCTATAGTTAATGTTGGGGTATCTCCAGCGTAGAGTTTACATGGAATGCACCCTGGCCCACCACCCCCTAAAGAATTATATAGAAACACTCGGCTGCTCACCCAGCATGCACCCCCCCCCCTAGAAAAACCTTGCTGGATCCACCCCTGAATATAAAAAGTCTTCCTTAATTTAAATTAATTGGCAAACAAGGTTGTGTTGCTTTGGTCAGGAAAATATTTAATAATTTATGTGATTTAAAGTCAAAATACAACCACTTCCACTATTGTTTAGTGGACACCCATTAATACTGCCAAGGATAAGCCAAAAAAAATTTGGCTGTTTTAACAGGGTGGCTGTCAGTAACAGGCTATCTTTATAAGAAAATGTATTGTCTTTGCTTTTTCGGGGACAAAAATAAGTGACTGTAATAACAAGCTGACTGCATTAATGGGGTGGCCGTAAGGCAGGGTTCCATTGTAGTCTGTTGTCATTCCCTGAATTTTGTTCTGTATTGCTGTGAATCTGATGAAATGTTCATACAAAAATAGGGAAAACTAAATGTTATCACCATATTTGCCCAGAGGTGTAGCTACGGGAGGGAATGCGGGGTCCTGACACACACCCCCCCCCCCCTACACTTTTCGTCCGGACGAATTTTTTAATTCTGAGGAGAAATTGGGAGAGAGCCTAACCTCAAAATGCTTTCATCGATGTCATAAAATAGTCTAAACCTGTGGCTTTCAGATTATCATAAAACGTGTATGAAATAGCACTTCGCAGACCCTAAAATAGAAATATTTTCCAGGGGACCATGCGCCCAGATACGTGAACCCAGATCTCGTTTCGGGCTGGCTACGGCCCTATATTTGCCCATAATTCAGTAACTGTTACACTAAAAGTAAAAAGAACAAAAACAGTAAATGGCAACTGACTTCACAAGCAGAAGTGAGAACGTTGTTGTATTTTGACTCTTAAATAGATTCAGATAATCAAAGGACTGTCAACTGTGAGTATTAACACATGGTCAGTTAATGTAATTGCTTTAAAATAATAGGAGATCGGTAGTTGACTCTAGAATTGTCAAACAATCTCCCTTTGTTTTTTGGAGTTGAATTGTCTGGTACTGGAATATAATGTGGCTTATTTTGTTAGCCGTTTTCGCGAATTACTGTAATTATATTTTTTATAGCCTTTGTATAAAATATAGCATCAAACTACAGTATGTGACTGCGTGGTGTATTTACTGAATGTCATAATTTTTGTTGGCCAAGAAAAACTAATTATGTACTATACAACAGGGAAAGGCCCATCCTTCCTTTTGGATGTCCAAATTAGCCAGGTATACCTAGTTCCACCACAGGCATCGCATGGGTTTCAGGGTTTTTTTCGGGATTTTCTCTTGGGCCGTTTTTGCAGAGAAGATTGAGTTTAGCTGAACAGCAGGGGTGGCTGCACCCCCCCCCCCCCCTACTGAGGGGCTGACACTTGTACTCAATAAATGTATAGTTGAGACGGAATGTGTTAAAGCAGGGGCACTGAGGGACACTATAAACTGGTTAAAGATGGCGAATGCATAGTTTTTCTTGTGTTGTGAGATGAATTCCAGCCATTTTTTCTTAATTGTCGGGTTTCCAACTGAAAACTAATTTCCACACATTCCCATTTAACTCAAACAACTTCATTTTTACTGCACTGAAACTTTGGTGAGAAGATTGAGTTTCAAAACTCAATTCAAGATTGAGTTTTTGGGGCCGTTTAACGGCCCTAAAAAATCCCTGAAAAAAACCCTGAGGTTTCATATCGTCGTGACAGTTTGTAAAAGCAAAGTGAAGATCAAGTCCATGCAACCCATAATTTACAGCTGCTCATTGGCTCAATAGTTAAAATAACCTGGCTAATAAAGGCTGGAATTGCTAAATTTTGCTGCATTTTGTCAGAATGCATTTTTCTGTGATTGGCTATAGAATTATGAGCAGATCTATACTGAACCAGTTATTTCTAACAACTGGATAGAATTACTGTATGAATGCAATCTCTCCCCTTTGTGGCCTCCAAGAGACCAACTTATGAACCTTCTAAAAATGCTGCCTACTAGGTCCTCCATAGACCATATGCAGAATTACACTGTGGAAAGCTCTTGGATTATCTATACCACTGTCATCACTCACTTTCCCTCAGATTTCTGGGCATTATCTGTGAATATAGCGTTATCGTATGAGCTTCAAAGCACTTGACTAGAATACAGACACCTAGCTAATAACTTTAATAAATCTTCCCCTTTTTACTTCTCCAAATTTAAAATGAAGCAAATCGACAATTGATTTGGATCAGACATTTGAATAAAAAATTATTAACTATGCCATGCAAAAACTAACAATAGGGCCATTTATACGTGACAAAATAAGTCGCGACTTACATAAGACGCGACTTAAATAAGTGGAGTTATCGCATAAATGGTTCTCTACGGCTTTGGTCTTATTTATTTGCTATAGCTATGTTGTTGTTTTGGTTGTTTTTGTTTTAATATGCAAGGCATTAAATTTTACGTCCTTTCAAGTTTCTGGCATGTGTAGTTAGACTTTTTGTCCAAAATTTCTTATTTAAGACGCGACTTAAATAAGAACAGCTAAACGACCTGTTCTTATGTAAGACGCGTCTTATCCAAGACGCGTCTTACATAAGAATTTTGTACCTTTTATACGACAAACTCGCGTCTTACTTAAGTCGCGTCTTATGTAAGTCGCATCTTATTTTGTTCCGTATAAATGGCCCTATTGTCAATGGACAATGACTAACAAGACTAACTATACTGTGACAAGAACAAATATAACAATTGATACTGTCAAACTTGCGCACTTTGGTTTATAGACCATTCCCCTTGTGAGTGAAATTTTGATCTAGATATGCCTGGGCAACAATTTCATCACAGCTTGAAGGAGCATCACAAAATTAGTAATATTCCGAAGTTTCGTTGCGAAATGTTGTAAAATGCGGATAATATAGCCTTGCGAAGTTTGCCGTTTTTCAGTCATTTTGCATTACAATCTAATATTTTGTATCAGTTTGATCATCTGATTATCAATTTCCCGTTTGTAATACCATAGACAATCCAGAAGATAGTCCAGAAGATGTCTTCTGGATGGCCTATGGTAATACCAAATGACTGAAAAACGGCAAACTTCGCAAGGCTATATTATCCGCATTTTACAACATTTCGCAACGAAACTTCGGAATATTACTAATTTTGTGATGCTCTTTCAAGCTGTGATGAAATTTTTGTCCAGACTTGTCTAGATCAAAATTTCACTCAAAAGGGGAAAGGTCTATTGGTTTACAGTTGTACCAAAGGAGCAGTGATTATTTCAACAAGTAGCAGTTTAAATACTAATAATTCGTCTTTACCCTAACACAGTCACAGCTACACTAACTCACATGTAAGCATTTCAAACCTACAGTAAGTTATTACTTTACTAATGTTCTGTCTGTTTTCAAATGCGTAAGCAGAACTTCGTAACAGCCTCGTTTTAATCAGTAAAGCTGTATTGTATGAACATGCGAGGGACGATTTTGTATATTTCAGTGAGATTGATTTATAGCCAACATGTTGGTGTTGCCAGCCTCGATGCTTAAACTTCATCTTAAAAAAAAGGCGGGGACGACTATAATTGAGTACATCTGGACCACGTCCAATTACGTAAAAGAGCACGTCAATCAGCACTGTCTTTCCTTTCCCTTTTTTCTCTGATAAAACATGAAGAATAGAATCTGGAGTATTGACTCGAGGCTCGAGGGGAGTATCTCTAAAGTCCCTAAATATTCTTATAAAACCTCCCAAATCCCGCAAAAATCTGGAAAACGTCTCGAAAAAATCCCGCAAAAATCCCCCAGGATTTTCGAAATCCCAAACATTTCATACAAATGGTGGGGTACACCCCGCGCGAATGAACATAAATAATTTGAAATAGTTTCATGCGAACTTGCTTATAATTTTTTTTCTGTGTTGGTGTAGTGTACTCAGGTGAATATGATATTTGTGGTGTTACTCTGAGTGTATATCTACACCGGGCGAGCTTGAAAAATATGCCCGGCCACGGTGGGATTCGAACCTACGACCTTTGGAATACTAGCCCAATGCTTATACTTATAGTCGTCAGGGGAAGCGCCTTTCACCAGCTCCGAGATCGTAGGTTCGTTTCTCGTTACGAACTCGTGTGAAAAGAGTCTGTCAACGCTCTGCCGAATGTTGTGGGTTTTCTCCAGGCGCTCCGCGCGGTTTCCGCCCACAGGGAAGTTGGCGGGATGGGTTAGGATAAACACAGTTAGGAAAGTAATATAACAATTGTTGCAAAGACAAAATAGTATGGGCTAAGTTATCTACTTATATTACCCAATACTTGATGTAATCGGTCACTGAAAAGTCCCTTTTGCATTGGGAGTGAGCTGAATAATGAATGTCCTGTATGAAAGACATAGAAGCCCCAAAACGGTGTCAATTTTTCATTCAATTTACCGTAGATAATCCACACTTATGTACATGTATATATACATAGATCATGAGTATCTGTGAATAAATATATATAAATTGAACCAGCTATTATACTTATTTATATACACGTCGAGCTGCTGTGGCATATGGAATTATTCGTATTGAAAGTAGAATTGGTGGACATGTACTGAAAATGTACTGCAGTATGATCAAATTCAACTCTAATTAGAAGGGGCGACAGGAATCAATTAATTGGCTATTCCTAAGTAGTCCAAAGTCAAAATAAATAAGCCTTTAGTTAGCCTGCAGAATCTTATAGTATCCTCACAGTACCATTTTTTGAGATCACTAATAAATGATAAATAAATATGTTGCTATGCTTTTCCAGCCAAGACCACCGGTTGTTGATATAACTGAATTATTTTCCCGATTAATACCGCCGTTCCCATAATATTAACAGTAATTCCACATAGAATAATAACGATATTCTTTGCTAGTGTAAATTTGGAAAGTTTTGGAACAGACATTGAATGCAATAGAGGAGGAAGTGTGATAGATAATGTCGTACTAGTGGTTGCACCAAACAGTCCAATAATGTACTCCAAGTGTGGAACAGTGCTTGCTAAAATCGCTGAAAGAAAAAAATAATTTTGTATTATTATAATTAAGGACGGACTGGCAGTAGCGATGTTTCAATTATTGGGATGTTGTCATCATAGATATCTTATATACACTAGATAGCGTATCTCTTTTAGTAAAATTGAAGCCAAGAATATTCCAGCGGTTACACCCATTTGAATAGATGGCGGCCATGTTGGTCGTTCCCACTTGCTAATAAACGCTTAAAACCAACAATAACTTTCATCATCCGAATAGTTTAAAAACGTATTTGGAATAGGGTTAACTTAATGTTAAAGTTCCCTGTTTAAGAAATAGAAAACATACGAATCTTCTCATTTCATGGGAACGACCTGAGACTGCAATCACAGCTTCAATTTTTGAATTGCAGAATAATTAGATGCACTATATCTAGTGTATATAAGATGTCTATGGTTGTCATACATCATGTAATCAAACATTGTGCGGCTCCTTAACATGTACTTCGCCAGTACCGCTCTTCGAGTACATCCTCCACAAATATTTCGGCAAGGATTGTGGTGCCGTGGTCACCACAGTACCACATGCACTTGCCTTTCAGGCTGAGAGACCCAGGTTCAATCCTTGGTCGGACCTTGACTCAAGGTCTTAAAATAATTAGAGTGAATGAGCTACCTATACATTGACATTAGACTTTCGCGTCTTCTCGGATAAGGACGCTAAATCGTATAGGTACCTCGGATTCCCTATCAATTGCATGGGGAATAGCCTGTTGGGAAATCCGCACACCAATGAGTGAGACAGTCAAGGTCAATAATTCCGAGTGCGCGGGGATGAATAAGCCTGCGAAGAAGGTGGACTCGAGCATACAGTATAAAGAGTGATGCTGAACTTACGGTGGTGAAGACATGCATTAGGGCCTGTTCATATGAGCCCGGTTAACCGAGCTGGCCCGCTTTGCCGAGCTGGCCCGCTTTGCTTTCACATGAGGCGGGCTAGCCCGGCAATCATATCTATTGATAGTAACGATTTCCCGCGATATTTTAGCGGGAAAATAAAATTCGTGTTTATTTGGCAAAATTTTATTTTTGTCGACGGCAACAGCTTCAGGAGGTTTAATTTCGATAAATTCCTATAGTTTTGGACATTTTAGACTGTTTATCAGTGGAATAAAGCATGCAAATTTCCAGCCCGGCTTGCCGGGCTAGCCCGGTTGTGCATTCATATGAGCCCGGCAAGCCGGGATCTCGCCTCGCTCAAGCGAGATCCCGGCAAACCGGGCTGGCCCGCTTCTCCTATGAAGCCAATCCTAAATTAATATACAAACAATATGTGAGGCGGGATCTCGGCACTTCAAAACCAGCCCGGCTAGCCGGGTCAGCCCGCCAGAGCAGGGCTCATATGAACAGCCCCTTAGTTATATATATCGAATTGTCGAGACGCTGGTCCATTAATGTAATTTGTTTGAGGATAACATTTATTTGAAACAGAGTAGAGAAATATTTTATCAGTAAGTCCAAAATAGCGGAATAAATCGAATCTCATACAGCATGAAATCATCTTCTTCCGTCCTCAAATTAATTTCCAATAAAACTCCCAATATAAACTCAAAAGCTGATATACGTACCAGTAATAGTAACAACTCCAGCTCGAACACCACAGCTTTTCAGTGCCTCGTGTCCTTCAGCAGTGTACTCCAATACCCACGATTCAATGAGAGTGAATGGGACGTATGCTTGTATGAAATAAGTCAGAAATATTGAACTACTCATCATTGCTCTCACCGCCACAGAGAACCTACAGTAAAAGAATATAGAAACAAAATTGCTTTATTCTGTGATGTAGAATGGAAACGATAACAATTAGGGACTCTCAAAGCGGGGAGGGGGGATGGCAGGGTGATAATAAGACGTGGGGTTGACAAGGAATGGAGGGTGCACATTCCCTCTGAGCCTCCTCCGAACCTTCCAACAAGAGAACTGCACTGATGGAGACCAGAGTGCAGCGTGAAGCACACACATAGGCGTACCGGGCTGGGGGGCCGGGGGGCGGCAGCCCCCCCCCCAGTTTTTTGGGCAGTCGGGCAATATTTGATCAACAGTCGGGCAATTTTGGCTTGCAATAAAAAAAAATGTGACAAATTCTGTAAATTTTGTCTAAAATTAAGTAAATTTCTTGGCAAATTTTGTGATTTTTCGAAAATTTTGTGTGTGTTCCGAAAACTATTGGTTGTCCGGAAAATTTTTTTGACCCCTAAAATGGTACACTGACCGAAATTTTTCCGGAAAAAATTTTTCCGGAAAAAATTTTTTGGTACTAGTCGGGCAAAATCCCGAAAAGTCGGGCAATCTTCTTTCCGCCCCCCTAATTTTTTCCTTCCGGTACGCCCATGAGCACACATGCATGCATTGCTGTCGATCTTGGGCACGTTGAACGAACACTCTCAAAATTATTCATTTTGGCTTACATTATATTTGTTTCCCCAGTGGTATTACTTAATTTGACCAAAAATTCGTACAGCTATGGGGAGGAGAGTGACGCTATGTTAAACGTTAGTCGGCAGAAAGAACTGATCATTATTTCGATGAATTGAACCAACAGGTGCGGATCTCTTTTACATCTTTCATTATCAAGGCATCAGTTTGTGTTTTCAACCTCATTAAAAAATTTTTAGATATCAACATATCAAACTACATCAAATTAGATGCTGTTTTGTCTAAAATATTGTTAAGAAAGAAATGCACCCTTGTCGAATTATTGTTGTTTTACAAATGATTGTCTTTATGGCAAATGACTGATGGGTTGCATGTACAATTTCGAGGCAAAAATACACATATTTTTAAGGTATTTACGAAATGGGCGTAAAAAGTCCGCCATCTTGAAATTTAATACAATATAATTATACAGGCTTACGTAATGTATACAATAGTGGATCGATACTATATGACAATGAAAGAGAGACTTGGAGCAAGTCTAAAGGTACCCCAGCCCCGTTGTTTTGATCCACCATATAAATGTCCATACAAATAAAATGAACTTTGGCATTAACTTCCTCTCTATAAATGCTGTTTTGTATGATACTTACGGTGTTTCTCCAAGGTTGAGCGTGATGCTCCCCTTACATTTATCGGTACAAGATAAATAACCAAAGAAGCCCATCGAGATATAAAGAACTGTCACGAAAGCCATGCCAAGATTTAGTAAGGGCGGAAATCGTTTTGGATTTCTTATTTCGTTTTCAAGAGGAAGAATCTAGATGGAGAAATTATAAAGAACTAAACACTTTTGGGACTTGGGACCAAGTGAACGTGCCATCGTTGGATTATGGTATTTATCATCGAAAAAAGAAATTTGAAGCGATCAAATACGATTATACAAAATATTTTCTTATTTTAATAATAAGTTCTTAACATTTTTTATTCAAAAATTGACTGAAATTAAGAAATTATTTGGCAACAAATTTAGAATTCCTTGTTATTTTCCCAACAAAAAATATTCTTTACATTTCGAGAAATTCTCTGAAAATAATGTAACCTTGCATCATTCCTGGCAAAAGTGACCAAATATATGAGCCCATTAAAAATTGCAGGTTGAAATCGCATTTTCCACATTTGTGCATAATTAAAGCAGTTCTTAGCAAAAAGAAAAGCAATTAGTCACTAATGTGTCTTGCTAAACAATAAGTTAAAAAGTTCGATCATCCTTTTTAAACAGCCTGTCGTTCTACAACTAAATCTCTTTTCTTTCCTTTTCGTTGAGATTATATACACCTGAACATTTACTTACCAACCCAATTGATTCATATGTGAAAATCGCAGACGCAAAAAACAGAGGTAAATCACGAGCAGGAGCCACTGCTGGTAATTGAGCAGGATTGTGAAGAGTTTCAAATATATGAAAGAATATGCAAATAAAGCCAGTTATCATGAGGATGTTGGATATGAAGGATAACCAAGCAAGCCTGTCCAGGTTCTTTATAAAGGAGAGCGAAATATAGACCGGCCACAGCATCAGTATCCAGAGTTTTGTATCCACGTTAAAATCCGTGTTGTTGGCAAAAATCTGGAAAGCAGAATATGTTACAAATTAGTCGAAATCAGCTTTTTGCAAAAGAGAATGCAAAAGCATAGAAAAGTCAAAAGCATATAAAAGTACACACACACATATACATATATACATATATATATATATATATATATATATATATATATATATATATATATATATATATATATATATATATATATTTCGGAATGTGAAATTCAACTAATTTAAAAACATTAAAAAATTAAAAACTGAGTTCATTTACTCGAGTTTCACGCCTATATTGGTAGTCTGATGATCGCCAATATAGGCGTGAAACTCGAGTAAATGAACTCAGTTTTTAATTTTTTAATGTTTTTAAATTAGTTGAATTTCACATTCCGAAATATAATTCGCTCCACAATCTCTGTGTTGAGCACTCTAGCAAAGTGGACAAACCCAACTTGTATTATATATATATATATATATATATATATATATATATATATATATATATATATATATATATATATATATATATATATATATATATATATATATATATACTAATTATGATCTTAAAATTTTATTAATCGCTGCACAGTGTTTCACGCTTTCAAAGCGATCTTCAGGCGATACTACTCTAAATAGTTTGCTTGTGCCATTCATTCAACGGTCCGCTGACGCGAACGTGCGTTTAAAATTCCGCGCGCTAAATGAGTTTCTGTGGCGGCACTTTGAAAATAGTTCTGTTCGTTTGTTCAACGTCCTATCTTTGTGATATTTAATTATATAAAACTTCTCCTCTAAGCAAAGGTTGCAAGAATTTGCACCTGCTGTATAGGCTGATGCATGCGACAAAACCGACCACTTTATAGTATACGGTCGGTTACTTTGTTTTAGCTTCCATGCGTACTTAGAAAGTTCGGTTTCGTTTGAATAGCGAGGTGAGTTGATGGATTTCTTGTGGTTGGCGTATCTTGCTTTAAACCTCCCTGCTGTTATACCAATATACTCTTTCGTTTCACCGACGTCTGTTGTTGTAATCTCAGCCTTATATACGATGCTTTTCGTAAGGCAATTACCATCGAGAGGGCATTCGTCCTTGTTGCGGCAATTACATCCATCGAAAGATTTGTTCTTTCTTACCAGTAGATGTCGATTGTGGTTGGATATAGTGTTCTTAATGTTGGTCATGCAGGAATAACTCACTTTCACAGTGTTCCGGTTAAAGATTTTATGGAGTCGAGTTGAATGTGGGAAGTGCTTGTCGATGAGTTGTAAGAAGCTATGTGCTACGTTGGTTTTTACGTTCTTACTGAAGGGCGGGTTAAACCATATCACCTTTCTTTGTCGTTTTTTTCTGCTTGGTGTTGGGGTGTCGCCGGTACTATTGGTTGAATATTGGAGTTTGACGTTGTAATTGCTGCGGTGAAGTGCGTCTTCATACAATGCTGCTGATGAATCAAAAGATAATTGATCAGAGGATAAGCTAGATATTCTTTTGCTTATGGATTCTGGGACATGCTTGATGATAGAAGGGGGGTGATTTGACCGGCTGTCTATATAGAGAGAGTCGTTATTGGGTTTTCTGTAAGCTGAATATCTCCCTGTTTGCAGATTGAAGGTTACGTCCAAGTAATTGACGATTTGGTTGTTAACTTCGGCAGTGATCTTAAAGCCAAGTTTGTGAAATATGCAATGTAGAGACTTTCGAGCATTGTCTGCCAATCTTTTTCCGGTTCCACTCAACAACATTAAGCCATCATCTCGATATAGACCAATGTTATTCTTTCCAAATTCCTCAGAAAGCTTATTCAAAATGAATAGTCCGACCAGCTCACATACCTCGGCTCCATCGTAAGTTCCCATTGCTACGTCGAATAGAGATTGGTTGTTTCTTTTTACCCACGTTTTCTCATCATGAAAAAGTAAGGATTTTCTTGCGTGCTTAATAATAGAAATGTGCTGATCCGTAATGTCAGTTAATGTTTGGGCCCATGAAATAACTTCGTCAAGGAGATGCTCGGATATAGACGGGTAAAACTCAACGATATCAAAGGAAAGTGTGATTATGTTTATCGTTGATGGCTTGGAACCAGCTGATTACGGATTCTGTATTTTTCCACTGATTCAAACTTAAGGTTGATCTAATTTTGTTGTTAATGTCATCGAGTATTATCTTGCTAACCTTTCCTAGTTCGCTTTTCGATGGATTGATAAGGCGGCATTTGGGGTAACAGAACTAACAGTACGAACAGAACTATTTTCAAAGTGCCGCCACAGAAACTCATTTAGCGCGCGGAATTTTAAACGCACGCGCGCATGATGCAATCGCGTCAGCGGACCGTTGAATGAATGGCGCAAGCAAACTATTTAGAGTAGTATCGCCTGAAGATCGCTTTGAAAGCGTGAAACACCGTGTAGCAATTAATAAAATTTTAAGATCATCATTAGTATATTTTGCTCTATCAATTAAATTTGTTATTGAGCACTCTTTTTGTACAACGGACAACGATTTATTATTGTATTATAAGCACCTGGAATCCAGTCGTGCACTCTTACTCCGTGTGGACGAGACGTTAATCTTAAAATGGACAAGATCCAATTTAATTACTCATTAAAGAACATCGGTTTGCCTAAACACCATCAATATCAGAAACGTTTAATTGATAAAACGGAAAGCGTCATTCAACGTATGCGATGGAAAGCTCATTACTTTCTTAATGGCGAGCCTAAGACTAAAGAATACGACACATTCGAACTGCCTTCAAAAAACTGTGCGCCTGTAGTTGCTGAGATGAAAGCATTTGAGGAAGACGTCATTCATCTAGTGTCAAATGTCAAATTCAGAAAGATCTCGGATCCGTTTTTGAACAATATCGCTGGAGACCTGGAGAAAGTTAATTCTTCTCAAAATGTTTTAATATTTGCCGACAAAACAAGAAATGTCTATAAAGCTACAACCGAAACATATAACAAACTATTGACTGACAACATAACGAAAACATATAAATTGGGAAGCGACGATATATCTGATGTTATCAATTCTGATCTAAAGAATATAACGAGCAATCTGTCGATCGCGGATCGTGTCGACACAATGGCGAGAAAAAACGCGTTCATAACTCTCAAAGACCATAAAGAGAATTTCGACTCTAACCCCAAATGCCGCCTTATCAATCCATCGAAAAGCGAACTAGGAAAGGTTAGCAAGATAATACTCGATGACATTAACAACAAAATTAGATCAACCTTAAGTTTGAATCAGTGGAAAAATACAGAATCCGTAATCAGCTGGTTCCAAGCCATCAACGATAAACATAATCACACGTTCCTTTCCTTTGATATCGTTGAGTTCTACCCGTCTATATCCGAGCATCTCCTTGACGAAGTTATTTCATGGGCCCAAACATTAACTGACATTACGGATCAGCACATTTCTATTATTAAGCACGCAAGAAAATCCTTACTTTTTCATGATGAGAAAACGTGGGTAAAAAGAAACAACCAATCTCTATTCGACGTAGCAATGGGAAGTTACGATGGAGCCGAGGTATGTGAGCTGGTCGGACTATTCATTTTGAATAAGCTTTCTGAGGAATTTGGAAAGAATAACATTGGACTATATCGAGATGATGGCTTAATGTTGTTGAGTGGAACAGGAAAAAGATTGGCAGACAACGCTCGAAAGTCTCTACATTGCATATTTCACAAACTTGGCTTTAAGATCACTGCCGAAGTTAACAACCAAATCGTCAATTACTTGGACGTAACCTTCAATCTGCAAACAGGGAGATATTCAGCTTACAGAAAACCCAATAACGACCCTCTCTATATAGACAGCCGGTCAAATCACCCCCCTTCTATCATCAAGCATGTCCCAGAATCCATAAGCAAAAGAATATCTAGCTTATCCTCTGATCAATTATCTTTTGATTCATCAGCAGCATGGTATGAAGACGCACTTCACCGCAGCAATTACAACGTCAAACTCCAATATTCAACCAATAGTACCGGCGACACCCCAACACCAAGCAGAAAAAAACGACAAAGAAAGGTGATATGGTTTAACCCGCCCTTCAGTAAGAACGTAAAAACCAACGTGGCACATAGCTTCTTACAACTCATCGACAAGCACTTCCCCCATTCAACTCGACTCCATAAAATCTTTAACCGGAACACTGTGAAAGTGAGTTATTCCTGCATGACCAACATTAAGAACACTATATCCAACCACAATCGACATCTACTGGTAAGAAAGAACAAATCTTTCGATGGATGTAATTGCCGCAACAAGGACGAATGCCCTCTCGATGGTAATTGTCTTACGAAAAGCATCGTATATAAGGCTGAGATTACAACAACAGACGCCGGTGAAACGAAAGAGTATATTGGTATGACAGCAGGGAGGTTTAAAGCAAGATACGCCAACCACAAGAAATCCATCAACTCACCTCGCTATTCAAACGAAACCGAACTTTCTAAGTACGCATGGAAGCTAAAACAAAGTAACCGACCGTATACTATAAAGTGGTCGGTTTTGTCGCATGCATCAGCATATACAGCAGGTGCAAATTCTTGCAACCTTTGCTTAGAGGAGAAGTTTTATATAATTAAATCTCACAAAGATAGGACGTTGAACAAACGAACAGAACTATTTTCAAAGCGCCGCCACAGAAACTCATTTAGCGCGCGGAATTTTAAACGCACGCGCGCATGATGCAATCGCGTCAGCGGACCGTTGAATGAATGGCGCAAGCAAACTATTTAGAGTAGTATCGCCTGAAGATCGCTTTGAAAGCGTGAAACACTGTGTAGCGATTAATAAAATTTTAAGATTATAACTAGTATATTTTGCTCTATCAATTAAATTTGTTATTGAGCACTCTTTTTGTACAACGGACAACGATTTATTATTGTATTATATATATATATATATATATATATATATATATATATATATATATATATATATATATATATATATATATATATATATATATATATATATATATATACAGCTAATTCAATAAAGGTTG